TCAATTTAATTTTCAATTATTGAAATACCGCTTCAAATTCGGAAAAAATTATAAGAATTTAATAGATCTTGACATATGAATATGAAAGAACAAAGAGATTGACGCATTTCAATAATACTTGATAAGAAAGTTATCATACAACACATTATTTAAAGTTAACGAAAATGGAGCACTTCATATTCTATTAAATATTACAACCCATAAGAGAATCCTAAATATTTTTTAAAGAAAATTTTATATAAAAAATATATATTTATAATTTGGATTTTAATAGTCGATTTTGTTCGAATTTTTTTACTCAATACCAAACCAAATCAAAAGAAATCTCATTGGATTTTTTAATCGATTTGGTGTGATTTTCCAATTGTGTTTTTACACCCCTAATGTTAACTATGAACAAAGCAAGAACCAAGAGAGCCTTCATAATTCATACTAGTTCAACTTTAAATGTCATGTCTAAAGCGTATAATTACCTTGTCTGACTTTCATACATGACAGTCTATTAAGAGTACATCATCCTTTGATTAAAGAGTACCACAGTTGAAATCAAAACCACAAGCTAGTTAGTAGTATTAACAAAATTCCATAAAAGAGAGCTAGAGAGCTAGCTAGTACAATGCTACAAGTTTATGAAAATGAAAGGATGTAACACATGGGCAAGAAAATGGCTTTGATTGCCAAGGCAAAGAAAGACGTCTACCACAAGTACAGAGTCTAAGATAAGAGTGACACTGAAAAGCCAGGTTGTTCGGACTCTCCAAAAAATGTGGCAGGATACGTGTCGGATCCTCCAAAAATAGTGCATTTTTGAAGGATCCGATACGGGTGCGACTACATTTTGGAGAGTCCGCGCAACATAGCTGAAAATAGATCATATATGAAGGACCCGTTTGGTCATGAATTTTGCCAAAATAAATTTGGAATTTATTTGGCAAACTAATGTTGCTCACATTTTGGCAAAATCTCAAACCTCAAATCTCAAAATCACCCCAATTACTGATTTTAGGCCAAAATCCCAAAAGTTGAGAATTATATACATGTTTTTCAAAAATAAAGTTGGGAAATATGTTTTGAAAACATATGTCCAAACACATTGTCATCTTCAAACCAAACTTCACCCAAATCAGATTTTTCAAAACAAATTTAGAAATCTATAGCCAAATGCTAGCGAAATCTATATCAACTTTCATATGGCAATGCTTCAGAGAAGTTTTATTGTGTGCCTCGCACAACTGACATTAGTTGTGTGAGGCTCTTTTTTGTCTCACAAATTTGTGGACCCCAATCTTACATTTCTTGGTTAACAAAACTGTGAGACAAAAAGATGTCTCATACAATGTCAGTTGTATAAGACACAAATAAAATTTTCCCAATGGTTCACATATATATCATGAAGTAGGTTAAAGCAATTTAATGTGCAATCCATATGGATACTGAATTCTGATTGCAACCCCCATAAGCAATTTATTGCATTGTGTAATCTATACCTTATATAATCCATGTTGTACGTACCATCCATATGTTCAAATAGTTATGTTGATGAGGACTTGAAAAAACATATGTGCCTCACACTTTAATTGCTTGATTTCTATCAATCTGCTAATTCTATGAGGTATACATGTATTGTGATTCACTTTTATTATAAAATATACAAGTAAATTATTTTGCATGAAAATTTTTCTTTGCATTTATAAGGGAGCTCTCCAATTCAATAACCTAAAAAAAAAGAGACGAAAAATAAGAAAATCTGAGGTTCTGCATATTTAATTATATATTGATGCGAATAATAATTAAACAAAAAAAAAAAAACGGAGCCTTCATATTTTTAGACATATACCTACACTAGTAAGGATTCTATTCAGCGGCAGGTTGAAATTATGATAAAAAATCTACACACATTTCAATATAAATTGTGTACATAAATATGGAATCAACTGTTCCAAATATTAATTACACAAACAAAACTTTATCTATATTTCCTATAGCGCGCAGTTTTAATGCACCTTAGAGCGAACCAAAAAGATACCAACATATTTCTATATTTCGTACAGAAGAGAAGAACATTAAATAGTGTTAGGTGATTGCCTAATTATTGCGACCTTTTCTGGGCAAAATCTTGCAATATAATGTGGGCTCATAACTTGTGGATTTGGTTATCCCAATTCCCAAGTTGTACAAAGTTCCTCCATATTTACCCAAATGCACTATTGTTTTTACAATCAAGGTAATTTTTTTTGACATGCCTACAGTGCCTCTCATTTGTCTCCATCACCCAAAATATATGCTGGTAGCCTGTATCTTCTAATGTATGTAGGGTTAGTGAACAAGAGTTGTAGGATTGAAACTCTAAAATGAAGCATTAATATTTTGATAGATAATATTATTATTTTATTGGACATAAATAACACGAAGTCTGAGTTATAGTACGGTCAACAGACTTGAAATTTCAGACAGTTAAACAAAAGAAAGAATCAATTGTTGCAATTCGATCGTACAGTACCATTAAGGTGTAGTGTTTAATCCTTCTTAAAAAACTTCTCTTTTTTCTGACCCTATATCTATGGCCCTTACCCAACCACCCCCTCTGAAAGAGGGAGAGAGAGAGAAGCAGATAGAAAAGGTAAAGAGTAGGGTTTGCATGAGTTTTTTTTTTTGTTCCGGAGAAGTTACATAATATACCCATTTGTAAAACTCACTTTCATGATATACCTAAGTTTTGAAATTACATCAAATATTCCAAAAATATTACACGTTATACCTCTAAATATTCCCATGTATTCTGAAACATATCACAATATTTTACTTTGGAATACAATCCAAACCTAGATTACCACCATATTCTAATGAAGAATACAATATCCAAACCAAGCATACCCTACTATTCAAATGAAGAATACAATATTCAGACAAAATATACTACTATAATATTCTAAGATGGAATACATTATCCAAATTAAACATCAACAATATTCTAATTTTGAAATACAGTCTCCAAATGTAACATGCCATAATATTCTAACTTGTATTATAATATTTAAACAAACATACCATAATATTCTAATTTGAAATATAATATTCTAACTAAATATACCACAATATTCTAATTTGGAGTAAAATATTCTAACTAAATATACAACATTATTCTAATTTGGAATACAAAATACAAACCAAACATATGATAATTTTCTAATTTGGAATACAATATTCAAATAATTAAATTATATATGCTACAATATTCTATTTTGGAATACACAGTATTCTATTTTTGGAATATAGTAGGTATACATAGTAAAATAAATTTATTAAATATGTATACAAAAGTAAAATGAATATTTTAATAGTATATAATATTAACTAGTGTTTTTAATAGGTATACCGCGTAAATTATTTTGTTCAAATGGAACAACCAATGTTACTACTATAGAAAATGACGTGTGAAGTGGAAAACTCAGAGAAGGTTTGATCATCATTTTCAAATAATATGAATACTACAAACAGATAAATGATGCAACAAAGAAAAAAAGAGAGAATGTTAGAGATTACTATAGAATGGGGCCGTAAAGCAGAATGAAAGATAAATAAAGCAACAAACAAAGGAATCTGAAGAAAAGATCAAATACTTGCCTCCCTTCCCTTTGACTGCCTCGTAAATCTTCATTTCTTTAGACTTTAAAAATAAAAAAGAAAAAGTGATGGATCATGAGCTGAAATCTTCCTCGTTTTACTTTAGTTTTGTGTTTGATGCTCAAGAGATATACTTAATTATCTTTATTAAAGAATACGAAAATAATCATTTAAAAGCAGTTATTGGGATTTGTAACGGCGTTTTGAAAGATTTTGGCGTTCATTATTTATAAATGATTATATTATATATATGAACACGTCAAAGTTGAAACAAGCTTTACTGTTTGGATATGATCACTGTCGACCAAGAAATGTACTAGCAACCAAACATTACCTTTGAGTCTTTGATCTTGTTCTTTTCTTTACTTACTTTTTCCCTTTTTTGTGTGTCTTAAATGGAAGTTCCATATAAACAAAACCTACAAAGTTATGTAATGAAGATCGGTGAATAATATTTTCTTTTTCCTTTTTTCTTGTGGGGAGGTATGAACTATGGGTCTCCAAAGGAACGAGACGGGATGGCCCGGCCCAGCCAAGTCCCAGCCCCGCTGGTATTAGTGGATGGGCTTGAGGGGTAACGAGATGAGGCATGTGACGGAACGCCCGTTTTGTCCAGGTCCGGACTCGGCCCGGCCCAGTAGCCAGGTTGATTTATTTTTTAAAAAATAAAGTAGCTGTTGGCCAACGATTTTATTTTCAAAAAAGTCGTTGGCAACAAACAAAACGGCCAGAAATGGCCCCCCAGACTTTAAATTTAATCTTGTTTATTAAATTATAATTTGGCCCTATTTTAGCTATAAATACCCCCATCCTTCATTTTTTTCACACATATTCTATCATTCTCTCTCTAATCTCTCACGTTCTATCTATATTCTTCTCTCAATTTTCTCATAATCAACTATGTTTCAAGTATTTGGACAAATTTCTGGAGCAAGTTTCAAGCTTCAAATTAATTCGTCAAGTATTTAGAGCAATAATTTGTCATGACCCGATTCACACCATAGGCCGTGATGGCGTCCAACACTGTCATTAGGTAAGCCAACGGTAGACCACCAACAAAATCATCTGTTCACAACACTTTATGATAAAAAATCTCATTCATAAAGCAGAATTAAATTTAAAAATCATAGTAAGATGCTTTCATTACTACTAAGCCGTGAAGTGTGAACAAAACATAAAACATAATGAAATATGTATCAAGTACAATTATAAACATCTACTAAAAATTCCCAAAATCTGGTGTCACAAAGTACATGAGCGTCTAGTAGAATATACAAAAACCACTACAACTAATGTCTAAATTAGAATAGACAGAAATAAATAAGCATAGTAAGAAGGAGACTCCGGGTGCTGCGGATCGAATCACGGAAAGCAACTCAACACAAGGTCTCCAGCAAGTGTGGCAACGCGCCAGAGTGACCACGAGAAATACCTATCTCAGTACCTGCACAATTAAGCAGAAGTGTAGTATAAATACGTGAATCAATACGTACCTAGTAAGTATCTAGTCTAACCTCGAAAAAGTAGTGATGAGGGGTCGATATCGACGCTCACTAGTGGTCCAATAACAATGTACATAAAGTAGACATGCATGAAACACAACAAGTAGGAACGAGACATACAAATATCAATAGTACGATTCCCAAGTAAGAATAATTATGAAATCACTAAATACCATAAACTGCCTCGAGGGAACAAGATCAACCAATATAATTATAAAAATCAAATCCCAAGTCAGGAAAACTCATATGTACACTGACTCCATCTCAAGGATTACGCACGAGTCTGTCGAGGCCAATGGCCCGATTCCATAAGAATAGTGTTACACAAAATTGCTGAGGCGAATAACGCGATCCCAAAAGAATATCTCATAATATTGCCAAAGCGAACGATTCGATCCCATAAGAATAATTACAATACTGCCGAGGCGAATGACCCGATCCCATAAGAATAGAGAAACTCTCTCACCCACGAAGATACGTGCGAGTCAAAAAGACACGGAACTCCCATTCATCAAATATTTCACAAAATCCAACTTAAGAGGCTTGGTTAATATGTTTATTCTAGTCTCAATCTTAATTATAAATTCACGTAATCAAACAAATAAGTTTAATTCAAATAGTACAGTTAAGGCATGGTATAAGTCTAAGTCTACTCGTACATAAATATGAATCTAGCTACGCATGAAATCTCGTCACCACCTACGTACGTAGCACCCATAGCAAGTAGCACACATCAATTAAAATACCTACGGGGATAATTCCCTCTTACAAGATTATGCAAGAGACTTACCTCTCTTCCAAGCCCACTGCTCGGCTCTCAAACCTCACTAGTCATCTCAAATCGATGTCGAGCAATCCGAAACTAGTCAAAGGTCGTACAAATCAATCACTATATACTCAAAAGCTCATAATTTAACTATCATAGTAAATTTCCAACCCAACTCGGAAATTCAACATAAGTCAACCCCGGGTTCACGTGTCTGAATTCCAAAATATTTCGAAGACAAACGTTACCCATGTCATTACGAACTCAAATATATAATTTTTACCCAATTCCTAATCAATTTTGTGGTTAAATTCCATTTTTACTAAACCCTAAGTTTTTCAACAAAATTCTAAAATTTCACTAATTTCTATGTTAATATTCTTACATAATCCATGTATTTAACTCATAATTGATAGAAATCACTTACCTTATGATGCTTAATGAAAATCCCCCTTGAAAGAGCTCCCAAACTGCCCCTGTCCAAAATTTCCTCTTCGCATTTGCGTACCCCAGGTCTTGTTCGAGATGTCTTCTACCTCTAGCCCTCTGTGTTTGCGGTTACCCAGCCACGTTCGCGAAGTCTTAACACCTGCCAGCTCTTCCTGCCTCAACTTTTTTCATATTCGCGAAGAGGAGCCAGGTCCTCTATCGCGTTTGTGCGGCTATCCTTGCGTTTGCGAAGAGAAATCCTTTGCTCCCTTCAACAGCCTTCTTCGCAACCACGGAACACCCTTCTCCATCGTGAAGCACACTAGTACACCAGCAAATCAACATCTCCAACATGAAGAAAATTGTCCGAAACAACCCCAAAACACCCCTGGGCCTCCGATACCCCGTCCAATTATATTAACAAGTCCATAAATATAATCCCTACCTACTCAAAGCCTCAGAACACATGAAATAATATCGAAACCAAGAATCGCACCTCAAAACTAAATTAATCAACTTTTAAACTTCAAATTTCTTCCAGCTAACTCCGAAAATGACAAATCATACTTAGACATCTCATAACGACACCGAACTTCACACACAAGTCCGATATGACAACACAAACCTACTCCTAGGCTTGAAATGCCAAATAAGATCTGATAACACCGAAGTACTCAAATCAAACTTAGAAAACTCTAAAACCTTCAAAATGCCAACTTTCAACAATAAGTGTCGAAACACTCCTGGTCTACCCGAAACTCAATTCGAATAAGAGCCAAGTCCAAAATCATCATACAAACCTAATGGAACCTTCAAATCCCGATTTCGAGGTCGTTTACTTAAAGTGTTGACTCAAGTTAGACTTGGCCACCTTAATTCACTATTATGGAATTAAGTATTCTGGATTCAACCCTAATCCTTCCAAAATCATACCAACCATTCCCACAAGTCATAAAACCGAAAAAATACATACGGAAAGTCTTAAATTAGGAAACGAGGATCTAGTTGCAAAATGAACGTTTGAGTCATTACATTCTCCTCCTTTTAAACAAATGTTCATCCTCGAACGGGTTTAGAATTATACCTGAAGTGCCGAATAAGTGTGGATATCTGCTCCACATGTCCTCCTTGGTCTCCAAAGTCGCCTCTTCGACTGGTTGACCCCTCCACTAGAACTTCACCGCTGCAATCTTCTTAGACCTCAACTTGCACACCTGCTTGTCAACAATGACAACTGGTTCCTCCTCATAACCCAAGCTCTCATCTAGATGAGCTGCATTGTAATCCAACACATGGGACCTATCAGTATGGTACCTTCGGAGCATAGATCCATGAAATACCGGATGAACTCCTGATATACTAGGAGGTAAAGCAAGCGTGTATGCAACCTCACCAACTTGTTCCAACACCTCGAATGGACCGATGAACCTCGGACTCAACTTGCCCCTTTTTTCGAACCTTATAATACACTTCATTGCCAAGACTTTCAAAAGTACCTTCTCGTCCACCATAAATGACAAATCACTCGCTTTCTGATCTGTGTAACTCTTCTACCTGGACTGAGTTGTGCTATGCCACTCTTGAATCTACTTTACCTTATTCAAGGTATCCTTTACCAAATCAATACCATATAACCGAGTCTCGCTGGGCTCAAACTAACCGATAGGGGGACGACATCGTCGACCATACAAGGCCTCAAAAGTAGCCATCTCGATGTTGGAACTATAATTGTTGTTATAGGCAAACTCAGCCAATGGTAAGAATCAATTCCACTGCCCTCCGAAGTTAATCACACATGATCTGAGCATATCCTCCAGAATCTAAACTTCCCGCTTTGACTGCCTGTCAGTTTGCTAATAAAAGGTCGTGCTGAGCTCTACTCGGGTACCTAGCTCACTCTATAATGCTTTCTAGATATTCAAAGTGAACTGAGTGCCATGATATAAAATAATGGAAATAGGCACGCCATGCAACTGACTATCTCCACGATATAAATCTAGGCCAAACTCTCTGAAGTATATGTAGTCATCACCGGAAGAAAGTGCACAAACTGGGTCAGTCTGTCAATAGTGACCCAAATAGCATCAAATTTCCTCAATGTCCACAGCAAACCAACCACGAAATCCATGGTGATGCGCTCCCATTTCCACTCCAGTATAACCATCTGCTAAAGTAAGCCACCTAGCCGCTGGTGCTCATACTTAACCTGCTGGCAATTCAAACATCTCGCCACATACTCAACTATGTGCTTATTCATCCATCGCCACCAGTAATGCTGCCTCAGGACACGATACATCTTTGAAACACTTGGATGAATGGAATAACGTGAACTGTGTGCTTCTTCTAGAATCGTCTCCCTCAAGCCACCAATATTAGAAACACATAAGCGACCCTAGAGTCGTAGAACACCATCATGCCCGATAGTAAACTCCTTGGCATCACCTTGTAGTACCGTCCCTCTAAGAACCAGCAAGTGCAGATCATCAAATGGATGAGCCTTAATCTGCTCGAATAAAGACGACCGAGCCACAACACATGCAAGAACTCAACTGGGCTCTGAAATATCCCACCTCACAAGTCGGTTAGCTAAGTACTGAATGTCTAAAGCCAATGGCCTCTCCTCTACTAAAATGAACGCCAAACAACCCATATTCTCTGCCTTTCTGCTTAGGGTATCTGTGACCACATTCGCGTTGCCCGAATGGTAAAGGATGGTAATATCATAGTCCTTCAGTAACTCAAGCCACCTGTATTGCCTAAAATTAAAATCCCTCTACTTAAATAGATACTGTAAACTACAGTGATCAATGTAAACCTCACATGATAATCCATAAAGATAATTCCTCCAGAACTTGAGAGCATAAACTATTAAAACCAACTCCAATCATGCACATGGTAATTCTTCTCATGGGGCTTCAACTGACGTGAAGCACATGCAATAACTCGCACCTCTTGCATCAATACACAACCCAATCCAACACGTAAAGTGTCACAATGCATAGTGTACATCCCTGAATCAGAGGACAAAACCAACACTAGTGCTGTAGTCAATGCGATCTTGAGTTTCTGAAAGCTCGCCTCGCAATCATCGGACCATCTAAATTGAGCACTCTTATGGATCAATCTAGTCAAATGAGCTTCACTAGACAAGAAGCCCTCCACAAACCAATGATAATAACCTGATAGCCTAAGAAACTCCCGATGTTAGTCGCTATTGTAGGACAAGGCCAACTCCGAACTGCCTCAATCTTCTTGGGATCCACCTTAATACCATTATGCGATACAACATGCCCCAAGAAATCGACAAAATCTAACTAGAACTCACACTTGGAGAACTTAGCATATAGCTTTTGTTCCCTTAGAGTCTGAAGCACTATCCTTAAATGATGCTCGTGCTCCTCCATGCTTCGCAAGTAGATCAATATGTCATCAATGAAGAAAATGACAAAAGAGTCAAGATATGGCCTGAACATCCAATTCATCAAATCCATAAATGCTGCCGAAGCATTAGTCCAGCCGAACGACATCAGTAGAAACTCGTAGTGCACATATCTAGTCAGGAAAGTCGTCTTCAGAATTATGGGTTCTTATCGAGCGGATCGTGCAGATAACTATACTTAATGGTTTGGCTTATCAGTTATCGAATTATAAATGTAGTAATCCGCTAGCCATCCAATAAGACAAAGGGCGAATTGGTATCGGATTACTAATTATCGGGCGGTTTATCGGCTAAACCAAATAGAAACGTTTTGAACAATCCTAGTCCTGTGAATACCAAATAGCCAAACTGCATAGTTCACTAGCTTTTATCATTTCAACATGCCATTCATAATCCTCAGCACATTACTCATTTTATGGATTACACAGAACAAAATCTAGAACAAATTTTTTGAATACTCAATGAAGACTTGTCATAGAGGTCGTGAATTTCTCTAGAAGAAATCAACTACGTAACGAAGATACACATTGTCATGCATAAGGCGGTAAAAGTGTATATATAAAAATTCTTAACGGGTTAACGGTTTATCCGATAAGAAAATTGAGTAATCTGTCCCCAAACCATTAAGCCGTTAATTATAAATCTCAATCCGTTCACCATCCATTATCTTGATAACCCGATACCAATAAGCCAATAAGGCATCAGTTCAGTTCGGTTAATGGTTACAGTTCGATTTTGAACAACCCTATTTGGAATATCCGAAGCACGAATCCTCACCTGATGATACCCAAATCTTAAGTAGATCTTCGAGAATACTCTAGCACCCTGAAGCTGATCAATCAAATCATCAATGCGAAACAATGGATTCTTATTCTTGATGGTGACTTTATTTAGCCGGTGGTAATCAATGCATGTCCGCATACTCCTATCCTTCTTATTCACAAATAATATCGGTACACCCCAAGGCGATATACCCGGCCTAATGAATCCCTTCTCGAGCACCTCCTGAAGCTACTCTTAGAACTCTCTCAACTCCACTAAAGCTATACGATAAGGTGGAATAGAGATAGGCTTGGTGCCTGTTTCCAAATCAATGTCGAAATTGATATCATGATCTGGTAGCATGCCTGGTAAATCAGCAGGAAATACATCAAAAAACTCCCGCAATGCAAGCACTGATTCTATCATGGGTGTCTCCATAATAATATCTTGAACAAAGGCCAGATAAGCCAAACAACCATTCTCGATCATATGTCGAGCCTTCAAGAAAGAAATAACCCAAATGGATATACCAATAGATGAACCTATCCACTCCAACCTAGGCAACTCTAGCATCGCCATGATAACAATCTTAGAATGTCAATCGAGAATGGAATGGTACGTATCATGACCCAAACTGGAGGGCCATGATTGACATCCAGGCCATACTTGCTGAGCACCAACGTATATTTTGTCTTTCCTTTCTTATTATCTACAAAGACTGGAAAGGCCAACATAAATCGTAGACATGAATCATAAAAAACTAACAATAATAGATAATGACATGAACATATATAACATGGGCTGACAAGGCTGTCATAAAGCTATATATAAGGTACGAGATGGCAAGGCTGCCATGATAGACTATACAACAAAAATCAACTAACAAGGCTATCCAAAACTATACATGAGATGTGTTACACCCCGTACTTTAATATTAAGATAAGTCATAGTAAGCCATATGAGCTTGAAGAGATTAAGACTATTTATGAGGTTATAAAGGATTTGTGACTATGTCATTGTAAGACCCCGTAAGTTTAACAACCTTGATACCGTCATATATATATATATATATATTGATNAATGTGATATATATATATATATATATATATATATATATATATTTACATGGATATTTTAATAAAATAATAGTGTATGTATTTATTTTATATGGTACCACATGATCATGATAGTAAGTTATATAAAGTGTGTTAAAAGTGAGTAGTATTTTAAGTAGTTTGAGATAATTCTTAATTATGTGGATAATTGGGTAATTATTGATTTTTAGTGGGAGATTAATTAATTAATTAAGCATAATTTGGATAAGGTCAAGTGCTCCCAACGTGGCAGCCATACAATAGCCATTAGATGACTCTTAAATTAAAATTTACAAGATGACAACTTTGAGAGGGTTTGGTACATAAGTCATCACTTTAGACAATTCTAATATGAAATTCTAACATATTTCGTCAAAATCAAAAAAATGCACTTTGAGTTTTTTTAACGCATGAAAAGAGAAAATATGCTGGTTTAGCCTTATACATCGCAAACTGAAAAATGGTAGGCAACTTAGTAACATGACATTTCTACTTCAACCAGAATTCGAGCAAGAATATCATATGGATTTTTCGCTACTCCAGGTATGTTAAGGCTAATCCTTCTTTCTTTTGACATGATCCAAGAAACGATACATAAATGTAATGCTATTCCATAAGTGGTTCTACTCTTAGCAGTTAAGGATGTCTACGTTATTTATTTCACTAAGGTGATATTCAAGCATGTCTAAGTATGTATTTAGTTCCCTATTGAGGTATTTGATAAAGATGTTAATATTAATAATATTGTGATACATGCATATTCATTTACCACTGTGCTACGGCCGATTGGGCAGTCATGCATATTCATTACCACCGTGCTATGGATGGTCGGATAGTCATGCATTTACCACCAAGCTATGGACGGTTGGGCAGTTACATATTTACCACCGAGCTACGGCCGGTTGGGCAGTTACTTATTTACCACCGAGCTACGGCCAGTCGAGTAGTCATGCATTTACCACCGCGCTACGACTGGTCAGGAAGTTACCACTGATCAGTTGGACAGTCATGCATCATACATATGGATAACATAAATAGTCTTAAAGAGAAACATTGTATATGTAAGTATAATAAGTATGCATATACGATGGCACTTTAGAGATTCAGGTTGATTATTATATGTCTTTAATTAATGTTGAATTATGGTTATGTTCTAATTCTGCCTTACATACTCCGTACATTATTCATACTGACGTCTTTTTGTTGGGGACAATGCATTCATGCCTGCAGTTATAGAAAATCAGTTTGACGAGCCCTCATAGTAGACGAGATTGACATTCAGTGAATGATCGGTAAGACTACACCTCATTCGGAGTGCAACCAAGTCTATGAGTCATCGTATCAGAATTTTGCTACAGACTTATGAGTAGGTTGGTACCCTATCCCATTTGATGTCAAATAATCTTAGAGGCTTTATAGATAGAGGTTCATTTTGTACAGTATGTCAGAGGCTTTGACGACCCATATGTATTCATGTTTTAAGAATGATAGTTTATTGATATAGTGTCCACCCACTTGCAGTTATGCACTACACCTTGTTGCCATATTGGCCCACGATGGTCACAAAAAGAATGAATTTCAAAATGGTTCGCTCGGGCCAGTGCGACACCGAGTGCCAGCCATGCCTTCCTAGGTTTGGGGCGTGACAAAATGGTATTGGAGTAGGTCGTGTCCTAGGGAGTCTACAATTGAGAGGCTATAGGGCATTTAGAAAAAATTTCACTTCTTTTGTTTCCACATTATGCCATAGAGCTGAGTCATAAGAAGTTAGTAAGAAGCTTTCGCCAGATTTTGTATGCACGAGAGGTGCAGGTATCACAGTATAGCTTTAAGGCGTAACTTCCATTTATGTTGAAGGGAGGTTATGAAAGAAATAGAAAATACAATGCTAGATATTGAAAGGTAAGTAAGGTAAAGGTGAGGAAGATATGACTTACTCAAGTATGAAAGGCTGTGAATAGTTGAGACTTCAAATATAGTCTAGGTTTTAGTTTAATTTACAAAGGAAACCCTAGTGAAAATTTTGTAAATCTCTATGAGTTAACATTCAAGGATGAATGCTCTAAAGGGGGGAAATGTAACGACCCGACCGATCGTTTTGAGCTTTTGCACTTCGCTCGCCAATTCTCGGGCATGACTAGCCCCGTGTGATATATTATGACTTATGTAGATCGTCGGTTTTAGTTTTTAGGGTAATCAGAATGAATTTGGAAGAACAGTTCTCAGTTTGAAGCTTAAAAATTTGAAAGGTTTGACCAAGTTTTGACTTGTTAGTATATGATCTCGGATTGGAATTTTTATGATTTGGTTAGCTCCGTTAGGTGATTTGGGACTTAGGAGCGTGATCAGGATGTGTTTTGGAGGTCCGTGGAAGGTTTAGGCTTGAATTGGCGAAATTAAGAATTTGGCATTTTCCAGTCGATAGTGGAAATTTTGATATTAGGGTCGGAATGAAATTACAAAAATTGGAGTAGGTCCTTTGTGTTATTTGTGACGTGTATGCAAAATTTCAGGTCATTCGGATGAGGTTTGACAAACTTTTTGAACGAAATCAGAATTCAGAAGTTTTTGGAGTTCTTAGGCTTGAATTCGTTAATAATTTGATGTTTTGAGCGTTCTGAAGGTTGGAACAAGTTTGAATGATGATATGGGGAATGTTGGCATGTTTTGTTGAGGTCCCGAGGGCCTTGGGTGAGTTTCAGGTGGTTAACGGATCAATTTTTGGACTTTGGACTTGGCAGATTTGCTGGTGTTTTTGTTGCAGAAAACCCTTCTTCGCATTCGTGATAGGACCTCGCATTCGCGAAGGGTTGTTGAGTGAGGCTGAAGGTTTGTTCTTTGCGTTCGCGATGCAGGTCTCGCGTTCGTGAAGGTTCAAGAGGTCAAGCTACGCATTCGCGACCAGGGTATTGCGTTTGCGACCAGGGTATCGCGTTTGCGACCAGGGTATCGTGTTCAGGGGCAAGCTGTGTGGTCTTCGCGTTCGCGGGTGGGACATCGCGTTCACGAAAGAGAGAATTTTGGTCAGAGAAGCTTTGTGCTTCGCGAACGCGAGAGTGCTTCCACGTTCGCGATGAAGAAATATTTGGGCAGTCATATTATATTTTAAAAATCGAGTGTTTAAATCCAATATCACAAAAACCATTAGAGAGCTCGGGAGAAGGTGAAATTTGAGGAGATTTTCAGTGGAGTAATTGGGGTAAGCATTCTTCACTCATATTTCGTTGAATGCCACGACTTAGTCTTGAGTTTCATCATTTAATTTGTGAAATTAGAGTGGAAATTGGGGAAAAATGGAAGAAAAGTTTGAGATTTCTTTTGGGGATTTGAATGGGCAATTGAGGTCGGATTTTGATGAATTTGTTATGGGTAGACTTGTGGGAGGATAAGGATTCTATTGAAGTAAATTTTATCGGATTCTGATACATCGGCCCAGGGGTCGGATTTGGCCAATTTCGGGATTTTTGGTGTAGATTGGTTATTTTCGAGTAGGCTTTGTTCCCTTAGCATATTTTGATGGTATGAATTTGTTTTTGGATAGATTTGGATCATCCGGAGGCCGATTCATGGGGCAAAGGCGTCACGGGCTTGAGTTTGGACCGGATTGAGGTAAGTAATGATTGTAACTGTTGTCCTGAGAGTATCAAACCCTGGATTTCACATTGTTGTGCTACTTTGAGGTGACATACACACTAGAAGACGAGCGTGGGGCCGTGCACCATTGGGGATTGTGACATAGTCCGTCCCATATGACTGTTAAGTCGCGTATTTGATTGAAAACTATTTAATATCATTGTGTTTTGGAAGGTATTATCATGTTTTGGGCTGAATGCCATATTTGGGCCTCGTGCCAATTGTTTTGAACCCTTAGGGGATTTTACTACTATTCCTCACTGTTTTGACTTCATATTTGTACTTAGTCATACTGTATTCTACTGTTTTTATAACTCAGCCGTATTTACTCCGTTTTGATATTTTAAATGACATTTTGGGCTGAGTATCATGTTTTACTGTTTCCCAAATGGCTTGAAAGATTTCTGACTGAGTGAGGCCGATGGCCTGTGT